TATCCTCAATGTATGCTAGGGATCTCTTGGTATCCCGAGGATCTTGTGGTATCCTCAATATATATTAGGGATCTCTAGGTATCCCGAGGATCTCTTGGTATCCTCAATATATGCTAGGGATCTCTCTGTATCCCGAGGATATCTTGGTATCCTCAATATACGTGCTAAGGATCCCCTGGTATCCCGCACCTCAGTTCAGATCAAAAATTCGTACAGGGGAATCTCCCGGGATGCCGTCCCGTAGTCCCAAAGTAAAAACACACAGCATCAACACAAGAATACCCAATTAAGCTAAATTTTGTACCAAGTAAACAATTAATTCTAGCCTAACATGCTTCACATAATGCAATTAAGGCAGTTTAAGCAAATAAGCAATTAAGTCAACTAAACATGCTTCTCTAAACTAGCAACATGCTAAATTCACAACTAGAATAAAACAGGAAAAATAATTCAATTGAAATACTTAAGGAAAAATCGGATTTTCAACAATTAGCTCAAGTACGCACTCATCACCTCACATACGAGGCATTTTAATTATCAAATATATCATATCCTAAGGGGAAGGTCCCCCACACAAGGTTAGACAAGCCACTTACCAAGAAATCGGCTCAAAATCAATCCGAAACCACGCTCTTGCCACGAGTACTCGACTCCAAATGACCCAAATCTATTCAATTCAATTGCATAATGTAAATAACACTTCAAGTAACTGATTCTACAATTAAATCCTAAGCTAATACGCGAAATTATGTAAAATGACCAAAACGCCCCTCGAGCCTACGTCTCGGAATTGGGTAAAATTTATATTTGCAGAATCCTCACGCTCTCACGAGTTCATGAATACCAAAATTATCCAAATCTAAGGTCAAATCCCCAATCAAAAGTCGAATTCTAGGTCTAAGAACTTTTTTCCAACTTTTCCCCAATTTTCATCTCCAATCTGAAATTAAATGATGAAACTAACTATAGATTGATGGAATAGAACTAGAAAGGGTTAAAGAATCATTACCCAATGATCTCCTCCTCAATTTCCTCTCAAAATTGCCACTCCCGAGCTCCAAATCGAATTTCCAACTTGTGAAACTAAACCCTCGAAATTTCATATTTCTACCCATCTGCGGTCTCGTTTTTGCGGACCAAAGGTCGCATCTGGGACTTCTCATTTAAGGAGGACTTTCCGCACCTGCGACTACATTACCGCAGATGCGGTACCGCTTCTGCGGTTACCTGACTGCATCTGCGGACTCTGGCCCCTTCCTCACTTCCGCTTCTGTGATTACTGAGCCGCTTTTGCGGTGCCGCACCTGCGGAACCCAAATCGTAGGTGCGGTTATGACAGAACCAACAGCTGAAGCTGCAACTTTAATTCTAAAATCTTTCCTTCAACCATCCGAAATCATCCCGAGGCCTCTGGGACCTCAACCAAAAGCACCAACAAGTCACAAACCACTATCCAAACTTGTACCAATCCATCCTTAGGACACCTAAAACAACATCGAAACCTCGAATTAACCATGGATTAAGCCTAAGAACTCCAAAATTATCAAAATACGCTTTCGATCAAAAAGTCTATCAAACCTCATCCGAATGACCTGAAATTTTGCATACATGTCACATTCAAAATGAAGAGCTACTCCAACTTCCAGAATTCCATTCCGAGCCTCGAATCAAAATCTTACTATTGGGCCGGAAACTTCAAAAATTCAACTTTCAGCATTTCAAGCCTAAATTAGCTACGGACATCCAAAACACAATCCGAACACGCTCCTAACCCTGAAATCACCCAACGGAGCTAACGGAACCATCAGATTTCCATTCCGAGGCCGTCTTCGCACTGTTCCGACTACGGCCAACTTTCTAACGCTTAAGCTCTCATTTAGGGACTGTGTCCCAAAACTCTCCGAAACTCAAACCGAACATCCCGGCAAATCAAAATAGCAGAAATAAATTCGGGAAAAGTAGTTAATAGGGGATCGGGGGGTAAATTCTTAAGACGACCGACTGGGTCGTCACAATATAACTCTGTAGAATAGTGTATATATTTGAATATTTAAAAAATATACATCATATATTGATTTTTTTGTAGTACTTTGAATCATTTAGTAGTGATGATTATTTTTGTTTTTATTTTCTTGTCTCAGCACTTGAATGTCTTATTTTACTATTTGAGGAAGAGGGAAAATATGGGCCGAATGTTGCCATACGGTTTACTACAACCGATTTTGTCTTTGGTAACAAAATCAACTCACTGTATAAAGATTTCAATGTGAATCAAGATTCTTCAGTGATTCCTGAAGGGCATGAAATAGAAGAGTCCATTAGAGGGTATTATTGTGATGTAAATATAGCGTGGCACACTGTTGACCACGTCTTATTCCTTATCTATGTCAAGCGCGGAAGAGCAAAATTGGGCCACTGTGTTTTGGGGTTGTTTACGTTCATAGATAGGTGCATCCACATCTATGACTCTAACTATGGAGATATTAATGATAGACTTGCTTTGGATGATGAATGCAATTTTGATACCTTACTTCTTGAAGAATTCTGATTTTTATGTCGAGAAGAAGGGCATTGATTGGAACAATGGTGCATATACCGATAAATCGCATTCTGATGCTTTACAGATTAATCTGGTTAATAATGTGCCACAACAGATCAAATGGTAGGTTAATATCAGTTTTTTACTATTTTACTATTAGTGTACCTATTTACAGTAATGTACAGAGAATCTGATTTTTTTTAATTACAGTGATTGTGGTGCTTTTGTTGCTGGCTTTGATGAGTATTTCATCCTAGGTAAGGAAATTCAAAAAGATAATTTTGACATTGAGACACTTCGTACCAGGTGGGAATCTTTGTTGTGGGATTATGGAAGGAAAAAATATCAGTCCGATGCAATTAGTGGTGATGAAATCACATGGAGATTTTTCAGGAAGAGGAAGAGGGGACGAGCGAGAAAGTAGTTCAATTTTTTTCATTTTAATGTAGTTTTGCTATGTATCAGGAGTTGTTGCCTAGTTTTGTCTCATTACTATTATGCTACTTGTGAGATAACATTAAAGGATATTATAGATGATTTTATTTTTATGTAATTTGTGGTAGTAATTACTCATTGTGGCTGTGAATGAATTACATTTTAAGGAATATTTCAGTTGTTTTTGTCCTTTAACAAAGTATGTGTTTTCGTTATTGTTGCAGTTTTGTCAATGTTGCAGGGTTTATACATATGTATACAATAATATACATAGTTATACAATTTTATACAAACTTATACTCTCATTTATACATCTGTATACATATAATAACATTGATTGTTTTCAGTTCTGTTTTGCATTTGTACAATCTATTAATATATTTAGCACCATTAAAAATATCAACACACTATTATTGGATAATCAAAACATGTATAATGAAACATATTTAACATAATTGCAATATATAGTATAAATTGTAACTCAATTGCTTGTAAAACTTAATTATTCAACATTTGTAACTATTGTTTGTGAAACTTAACTACTCGACATGACAACATATGTAATAAGAAGTGTTATGTTTCCAACTGTTTATTTTGGTTGATTCATAATATTTTTCTATTGTGGCCACTTTGTCCACACACTGAACATGAAAACACCCGTTTAGACTCTTTCTCTAAAGCAGGTTTGAGTCTTTCTTTTCTTGGCCTTCCTGAATTTCTTCTCCCTTTAGGTGGTAGGACCACATCTTCCAGCACCTCTGTTGGGATTACCCATAAACTCTCATCTGGCATCGGATTCACGGAAAATTCATAAGTTCTAAGGAGGTTATCCTTCTTGTAGTAAAAAGAGCAATACTGGCCAGGTTTCAGTTGCTGGTTCTTCAAAATCGCCCAAGCATGCAGACATGTAAGTTCATCCATTTGAAATTTTCCACAACTGCATAGACCCTCTTCAAGACACACTATGTTTCACCTTACTCCTTCAAGCACAATATATAACTGCTCTGTAGCTGGCCTCACCTGCAAAACTTTTTTAAAAAAAAGTGAAAGCACATTATACATTATTATACAGAGTTATACTTCTTTATACAAGCAGTAAAATGCAAGTCAGCAGTACCATGCATTATTATATTTGATTCGTTTTATCGTCATTTTCTCCGATGCAATCAGATTTTCCCGAAGGAGTTTGTCGTACTTTTCGCCAAACTTTGTAGTTGTCTCCATTGCATTTTTTCTGTTTTTCTTGTTCCACTGTTGTATCAAATTTGTCATGTACTCTAGCAATCCCATTACTGGTACCTCTCTAGCATCTTTGTTTGCTGCATTAATTGACTCTGCAATATTGGAAGTCATTACCATTGACCTTTTCACTTTGGAGTATGCCCTAGACCACCTTTCGTAGCCAATTTCGAACAAGTAAGGCTGCACCCTCGGATCAATTTTGCACATCTGTATCATATGGTAGTCAAACTTCTCTATCATGTAAGCTCTAGCTAAAGCGAAGAAGATATCCTTCAATTGCTTGTGATGTTTCTTGAATGTGCGCTTGACATTCTGCCACTAGTGAAACATGCAAATACAATGTGGTACTTCTGGGTATACAACTTTTGTGGCATTGAAGATGCTTTCATTTCTATCTGAAACTATACACATCCCTTCCCTAACACCAAAAGTACCCTTTATATGGACGAAGAACCACTCCCAAGATTTATTATTCTTTGAATCTATAATTGCATATGCAAGTGGATGGATTTTTCCTGTTTATACAAATAGATATTAGGATTCAGACAATTATACAAATCTTTTACACAATTATACACGAATATACAACTTTATACATACTGCAAATTTTATAAAAATAGCAGCTCTGAAATCCTATACACGTTTATATATGAAACTACAGCATTATACAAACTGCAGAAACAAGGTAGATGCAGTCAACTCACCAGCTCCATCCTGTGTGCGAGCAGTTAATATGGTACCATTATATGTTGCTTTAAGGAAACTTCCGTCAACAACCATTATCGGTCTGCAATGCTCCCAACCCTTGATAGATGCATATAGCGAAACATATGTATAAAGAAAGCATCCATCTTCTTATTTGTGCAACTTTGTAATCGTTCCTGGATTTGTATGCTCTAACATATACAAATACCTCGGCAATTCCTTATATGAATTGCTCGGATTCCCTCTTATCATTGCCATTACTATCTCTTTAGCTCTCCATGCTTTCATGTAGCTCATTTCAACCCCGTGTTGCTTTTGTATGTCCTCTATTATATCATTTGCAGTGTAAACGTGTTTTGAATTAACATACTTATCCTTGACTATTCTAGCAATTACACCCGAAGTAGCTTGAGATCGTGTTAAGTATCTTTCACCATAGCCGCATGTGTGATTATTATTGTAATTCTCACCTTGATTATGTTTACCTTGTAAACGATAGAAGATTTGAAACTCCAAGCACAATTGTCATCCACACACATAAGGTGATACCTAGGATTAAAGATCATTCAACTTCTAAATACACTTGTATACCAAATNTATATATACAACTACTATCACGACCCGGATTTCCCGCCCTCAGGAGTCGTGATGGCGACTACTAATATGAGCTAGACAAGCTGACGGCTTGATCAATTTACCCTTTTTCCCATTTTAATCCTTTAACAATTATGAGCAATAATTTAAACACAACGGAATTTAAGTCAAGCAGAAGAAAAAAACAATAAAACTACTGAGTAAATCCAATACAACTGTTTAAACAAGACTACCCAGAACTGGAGTCACAGCTTCACAGACAGTCTAAGAACACTACAAACAAAGTCTGAATGAAATACATAAGTCTGTCTCTGAATAAGTAAAAACAGAAAGAGGCGCGGACGTCTGTAGGACTACCTCGGGTCGCCTGTGTGGACTGAAGACAGCACCCTCACTGTGGTCCAAGCGCTCCGGTACCAGTATTTGCACACAGTGCAATGTGTAGTATCAGCGCAACTGACCCCATGTGCTGGTAAATGCCTAGCCTAACCTCGGTGAAGTAGTGACGAGGCTAGGGCCAGACTACCAAATAAACCTGTGCAGTTAAAACATATACATCGGAAATAGAAGGAGATAATTACAATTAAAATTGGGTAGGGGAAACATGCTGCGGGGAGTAACAGGTAACAACAGAACGACAGTAGAGAAACATAAGGAATGCCATAAATCAATCACTAGCTAAAATAAGGAAATAGAAGAAATAGGTACACACATAATATCGTTGCAGGTGTGCAACCCGATCCCATTTCATATGATACCGTTGCATGCGTGCCACCCGCTCCCATTTCTAATATTACCGTTGCAGGCGTGCAACCCGTTCCCATCTGACATATTACCATTGCAGGCGTGCAACCTTCTCCCATTTCACATATTACCATTACAGGCGTGCAACCCGCTCCCATTTCACATATTACCGTTGCAGGCGTGCAACACGCTCCCATTTCTTTTATCAACACCAGTCATAAAAGGATCCCGGTAAGGGAACAATAATATCAAAACAAACATCTTGGCAAGGGAACAATAATGATAATAACATCCCGACAAGGGAACAATAATGATAATAACATCCCGACAAGGGAACAATAATGATAATAATATCCCGACAAGGGAACAATTATGAAAATCCTCATATGAAGCGCAATAAACCACAACGGAGTCATAACAAGTACAATACAAGACTCACGAGCATTCTTGACACCGACGTATAGATACTCGTCACCATGCCTATACATCATGCTCCACAATTAACACGTAGCAAATAAGACACGACTCCTAATCCCTCAAGCTAAGGTTAGACCAAACACTTACCTCGAACTTCCACAGCCAACTCAAGCCTAAACGTTGCTTTTCCTTTTGAATTTGGCTCCAAATCAATTGTATCTAGACATAATTGACTTAATAACATTAATAAACGCTAAAAAATCCAATTCCAGTGTTTAATTATAGATTTCCTATCATTCTTCCCAAAAAGTCAAAAATTGACCCCAGGCCCGCGGGTCAAAACACGAGGTTCTGACCAAAACCCAATCACCCATTCACACACGAGCCCGAATATGTAATTAGTTCCAAAATCTGACCCCAAAATGAGATCTAAATCCTAATTATACAAAAAGCCCTAACTCTACCCAAATCCCTAATTTTCTACCCTTAAGAACATGATTTAGACCTAGAAATCTAATGGGTGTTAACGGAAATTGAAGAAAATGAGTCTAAGATTACATACCTATGAATTTGTGGTGAATTTCTCTTTTAAAAATCAACCAATTTGGAGTTTGGAAGAAGAAGTTATGAAAATTATGAAGACTCCTATTTCTGTTACTGTTTTAAATGACTGGGCAAAAATACACTATGCGATCGCGAACAAGCCTATGTGATCGCATAGGTTTGACTCTCCTGACCTGCGCGTTCGCGAGCTAGGGGCCGCGTTTGCATAAGGTTAAAACTACCTAGCCCCTAGGCCCCATCCTACTCTATGCGTTCACGACTGACCCGGTGCGTTCGTGTAGAGTAAATTCCCAAAGCTCCGCATTCGTTCCCAGGTCTACGCGTTCGCATAGTGCAAACCTGCCCTCCTCCCAATTTGTGTTGTGCGTTCGCGAGGGTTACCATGCGATCGCATAGAGTTAAAAACTCAGACACCAGCAACAGCAAAAATACCAGATTTCTAAGTCCAAAACACTCTAACGCCTATCCAAAACTCACCCGAGCCCTCGGGGATCCAAACCAAACATGCACACTACCTCAAAAACACCCTACGGACTTACTCGTGTGATCAAATCGCCAAAATAACATCAACAACTATGAATTTAGCATCAAAATCTTGTAATCACTTAAGAACTTCAAATTTTCAAATTTTTCTCAATTACAGTCCTATTCACGTTATTTCAAGTCCGTTTCTTACCAAATTTTACAGACTCAACTTAAACCAAATATAAGACCTATATTGGGCTCCGAAACCATAATACGGGTCAGATACCATAAAATTTTAAACACATTTCATTTCCAAAACTCATAAATAATTCTAGAAAATAATTTTCTTTAGAAATTCATTTCTCGGGCTTGGGACCTCGGAATTCGATTCCGGGCATACACCCAAGTCCCATATTTTCCTACGGACCCTTCGGGACCGTAGAATCATAAGTCCAGGTCTGTTTACCTAAAATGTTGACCGACGTCAACTTAAATTCATTTTAAAGTCATAATTCATCATTTTTCACAAATTTTCACCTAATGGATTTCCGGCTACGCGCCCGGACTGCGCATGCAAATTGAGGTGATGCTGAAAGAGGTTTTTAAGGCCTCGGAACGTAGAATTTATTTCTAAAACTTGGGTCATCACATTCTCCACCTCTAAAACAACCGTTCGTCCTCAAACGGAAATAAGAAGGAAGTACCTGAGTCGGGGAAAAGATGGGGAATGGGGATAATGGCTCTGCATATCGAACTCGAACTCCCAGGTCGATGCCTCAGCTGACTGACCTCTCCACTGAACACAAACAAAACGAAAATTCTTCGATCTCAATTGATGAACCTGCTGGTCTAGAATAGCTACTGGCTCTTCCTCATAGGACAAGTCCTTGTCCAACTGGACAGTGATGAAATCTAACATGTGGGATGGATCGTCGTGATACTTCCGAAGCATGGACATATGAAACACTGAGTGCATGGGTGATAAGCTCGGCGGCAACACAAGTCTATAAGCCACCTCTCCCACTCGATCAGGAATCTCAAATGAGCCAATGAACCTGGGGCTAAGCTTTCCCTTCTTCAAAAATCTCATCACGCCCTTCATAGGCGGCACTCGAAGCAATACCCGCTCACCGACCATGAAAGCCAAATCACAAACGTTGAGTTCGGCATAACTCTTTTGCCTGGACTGAGCTGTACGAAGCCTGTCCTGAATAATCCTGACCTTGTCCAAGGCACCCTGAACCAGATCTGTACCCAACAATCGTGCCTCTCATGGCTCAAACCATCCAACCGGCAACCGACACCACCTACCATACAAAGCCTCATAATTAGCCATCTAAATACTCGACTCGTAGCTGTTATTATAGGCAAACTCTGCTAAAGGCAAAAACTGATCCCACGAGCCTCCAAAGTCAATGACACAAGCTCGGAGCATATTCTCCAAAAGCTGAGTAGTACGCTCGGACTGCCCGTCCGTCTGAGGATGAAATGTTGTGCTCAACTCAACCTATGTGCCCAATTCTCGCTGAACTGCCCTCCAGAAACGTGAGGTAAACTACGTACTTCGGTCCAAAATGATAGACACGGGCACAACATGAAGACGAACAATCTCCCGAATATAGATCTTAGCTAACCTCTCGGAAGAATAGGAGACTGCCACAGGAATGAAATGCGCTGACTTGGTCAGCCTATCAACAATGACCCACAGTGCGTCGAACTTCCTCTGAGTTTGTAGGAGTCCAACAACGAAATCCATAGTGATCCGCTTCCACTTCCACTCGGGAAGCTCAATCTTCTGAAACAAACCACCAGGCCTCTGATGCTTGTACTTAACCTGCTGATAGTTCAAACACCTAGCCACATATGCAACAATGTCCTTCTTCATTCCCCTCCACCAATAATGCTACCGTAAATCCTGGTACATCTTAGCGGCGCCCGGATGAATGGAGTACCGCGAACTATGGCCCTCCTCTAAAATCAACTCTCAGAGTCTATCCACATTAGGAACACAAACACAATCCTACAATCTCAAAACTCCATCATCTCCCAAGGTAACCTACATGGCACCTCCGTGCTGCACCGTGTCTCTAAGGACACATAAATGGGGATCATCATATTGTCGATCTCGGATACGCTCCAATAACGATGAACGAGAGACTGTGCAAGCTAACACCCGGCTGGGCTCAGAAATATCCAACCTCACGAACTGATTAGCCAAAGCCTGAATATCCAAGGGAAGCGGTCTTTTACCGACCGAAATATAAGAAAGACTGCCCATACTGGATGATTTC